ACCGGCATCCCATATGGGTACCAGTTCAAGACCCGGCTACTCCTCTTCCAGTCCAGCTCTCCGCTATGGCCTGGGAAAGCAGTGGAGGATGGCCCAAGTGCTTAGGCCCCTGCACCTGCATGGGAGACCTGGAGGAAGCTCCTGGCTCCTTGCTTTGGATTGGCTCAGCTCTGGCCTTTGCAGCCAATTTGGGAGTGAACCAGCGGATGGAAGACCTCTCTCTCTCTCTCTCTCTCTCTCTCTCTCTCTCTGACTCTCCTCTCTTTGTGTAACTCTGACTTCCAAACAAATAAATAAATCTTTAAAAAAAATTGCTAGGGAAGGAAAAAGAAGACTGGAACAGCACCAGGATCCCGACTCACAGAGTGGTGCCCCGATCACGTGTCCCGACTATGCAGCCCGAGAGCAAGGGCCCGGGAAGTAACTACGGAAAGTGGAGCAGCCTTTGCCTGAACAAGAGTGTGGCGGGGGGCCGGCCCTGTGGCGCAGCCGGTTAATGCCCTGGCATGAAGTGCCGGCATCCCATCTGGGTGCCAGTCCTAGTCCCGGCTGCTCCTCTTCCAACCCAGTTCTCTGCTGTGGCCTGGGAAAGCAGTGGAAGATGGCCCAAGTCCTTGGGCCCCTGCACCCGCATGGGAGGACCTGGAAGAAGCTCCTGGCTCCTGGCTTCGAATTGGTGCAGCTCCAGCCATTGCGGCCATCTGGGGGAGTGAACCATCGGATAGAAGACCTCTCTCTCTCTGCCTCTCCTCTCTCTGTGTAACTCTGACTTCCAAATAAATAAACAAATCTTTAAAAAAAAGAGTGTGGCAGGGACCAGGCGCTGCCCGAGGATCAGACGGTCAACCCCATGGCTGCGTCACAGAAAATCAGAAAGAAGCAGCTCAGAGGAGCTACGGCGTGAAGAAAACGCAAGTCTTCAGAATGTAGAACAAAAAGACTAAAAAGGGCCAACCAAAGCTGAATTCACCCATGGACCATCTTCTCCAAAATATACAAGAAAAAGTTCAATAAAATTTTGTCCTTACGGCTGTAGATATTTGCTGACTGTCTATTGTTTGTTTGTTTGTTTTTTGTATAAATAACAAGTGCCTTCCAACGATGAGCTAAATTTGTCAATATAAACTTGGTTGCTAAACTACACTATGCATAAAATGATATAGATACTCTACACAATATGACTCGTTTCTCATTTATTTGTCCCTGCAAGAAGGCAGGACTGAGAGAACCTTCTATTTGGAAGACAAGGTCCAAGCATATATAAGTTGGTACCACGTGAAATAAATTGTTTTGCAAATTACAAAATCAAAAAGAAATGCAAGTGGGTGCGTAAAAGGTTCAGGCAAGTTACAGGGCACCCCCAAGCGGCCACGCTGCAGCCCCGTGAGCCGGTCCCCGCCGGGAGAGGGGACAGCTGGGGTAGCACATGAGCGCCTGCGCGCTGTGGGATTCTGGGACACACTATGGGGAGGGACGTGAATAAGAAGTCTTGGTTGTCTGGGATCATCAGGGCTGGGTCAAAGCCTCTGGGGTGCAGTCGTAGGGACAGGGAAGAGCTGGAATCATGGACAAACCGACATGGAACCCAGCGCCAAGGGACAGGGACCAATGACCAATGACGAGAGCAAAGCAGGTGGGGAAGGGACCAGCCGGACCAGCGCAGCTCCCAGCAGACGCTTGCGGGACTGAGCGGAGCGGGCCGGGAGAGATGCCTGTCCCGGGCTCAGCCTCCCACAGGCAGGGAGACCGGAGGCTCTGAGTGCCCCCGGCCGCCAGGGTGAGGCCTCTCGCGAACTGCTTCCAAAGTAGGGCCCCAGGTGGCAAAGCGACGCTGGAGGGCAGCACCAGCGACACTCTGCACACTCTGACGGCCTGGCAGGCGACCGCGCTCTCGGGGAGTTCCGTTTAAGACGCAGTGGAGGGGTGGGTGCTAAGGCTGCTGCTAGGGGTGTCCACGTCCCGTCAGGCAGTGCCAGGCACTGAGTCGCCGCTCCCTCTCTTCCGGTCCAGCTTCCCGCAGATGCTGGGAGGCAGCAGATGCCGAGGCCGGCTTGGGGCCCTGCCCGCCACGTGCAAGACCCCGATGAAGCTCCAAGCTCCTGGCTCAGCCTGGCCCAGCCCTGACTGCTGTGGGCATTAGGGAGGGAACCAGCAGGTACAGGGTGTCTGTCTCCTCCCGGCACTCTGCCTTTTAAATAAGTAAATCAATATTTTTACACCAAAATAGACATTGGAGTGTGACTCCACCAAAGACTTGGAGGGGCATTCACACTTTGGGGTGTCTTCAGATACCCCAGTGAGGAAGGAAGAAGACCTCCTATGACGTCTGAGCCAGTACCTTGGGGACTGCAGCCAGCTAACAAGGTGAACCTCACTAATCCTCAGAGTCACCGCCGGCCATGTTGCGAGAAACAAAGTGGCCTTTGTGGCATTTTCGTGAGCTGAGGGCCAGCTGCTCACATCTGTGCGAAGTCGCCTGTATGAGCAATCACCTTGGGAGGGGCAGAGTTTCGGGTTCAGTGGAGTCCGGTTCTGTGTGTCCTGCAGCCTTGGTACCACCAGGGGTCGCTGTGCTGCCCCACCCTGGGTAAAAAAAATTCTCCAATCGGCCCCAGGAGGTGGGCGCTCCTGTGCCAACAATGACCACAGTAGACCAAATAAATGGGACGTGTCTTCAGTGAGCGCTTATGCTAAAGCAGCGAGCATCCAAACGGCCACCGTGGGAACTGCAGCCGTGAGCGTCTGATGAGCCAGGCGGACGTCCGGGTGAGGCCAAATCTCACGCTCAGCATCACCAGTTTGTTTGCTCAGCACGAGCTGCTGGTCACAGAGGCCTCCAACCCGTGCCCCAGCCTCTCAACCAGAACGCAGCAGCAGAACTCCTGCTCCCACGGTTTGGAGGGGGCGCTGAGGCGGCTCCCTCAGGCAGGAAGTCCTCCACCCGCCCCTCACCCAGCAGTAGGAACTCTGTCCTTTGCCCCTGCCACCTGCAGCCCCCCCTCCCCCCGAGAAGGAAGCCAGGACGCAGGGGTTTAGAACAGGGTAAAACGAGAGGCACGACTCCAGAAGTTTAGGAGGAAGAGCGATATGACATTCAAGCCCAGAGCCTGGGTGGCTTTCCCAGCTGCCCCTAGGGGTCACTGCTGCGCAGACCCCCACGGAGAGGTGAGGCGTGGGCCCTGGATTTTAGCAATACTTGGCAGGAGAGGGAGCTTCCTACAGATTCTTAGTCAGGAGCTGCACTGCCCAACCAAGGCTCTTTCAGCTCCACACTGCCACCTTGTGGCACCAGGGCTAACTGCAGGACACTCTGCCTTTCCCACTTAAAACTAGGCGCAGGGCTCCAGGAAGGGCCCCTCCCTCAAGAAGATCACATTTTAATTTTATTCTGCACATCTCATTACTGTGGCCCCTAGGAAACACAGACGCCCAGAACCTTCCTGGATCTTAATGAGTTTCATTGGTCCGTTTCAACCACCTCGCTGGATTCTTGACCCAGAACAGCTGCAACCTAAACTCAGTCTACCGCCCCTTGAGAGGTGAAAGACGTATTTACATATAAATCTGGAAAACTGAACCGTGTCAGAAACCATTCTGAGAAAGTCCACCGTCAAATGCCAAACCCCTCCGCCTGTTCTTTCTCTCCTGCCCACCCCGCCTCCTGCTCCCACAAGGGTTTTAAGGGTCTGTGGTCCTGTGTTGCACAGGCCACGGGACGGCCCTTTCTCCTGGGGTTAGCTGTCTGCCACAGGATTGGCCCTGGAGAGCACAGAGCCTCCTGCTTGCTTCCCGTGGGCCCCCCCCCTTGCACCCTAGCCAAGCCTGTACCGCTGGTGCAGGCTGTCTGTGAGCACTTGCTATAGGCCCTGCAAAAGCTGTCATCCACGGATCCAGACAAAACCCACCTCTTCCTCCAGGAGCTTCCCGGACTGGGCTCCTAAGGCCGTCCGCCCGTTGTCCAGTCGCTCCCATTGGCCACGTCATGTGGACAGAGCCAGCATTCCGGAGGAGAGCCCGTGTAGCCTTACCAAGGAAGGGACGGCTAGGGCCCCAAGACACTGCACAAGTACAGGCCCCTCGTGCCACGCAAGTCAGCAAAGACGACCGTGGCGAGGGAGACAGGACAGCTGCTTCCGCCACACTGGGTCCCAGGGCTGCTCTCTGGGGCCGGCAGAGTCTCCTGGGCCCAGGGCAATCAGGAGCCATCAGCATCCGTGGAATGTTCTATGCCGACAATGTGGGCATCGCTATCCCCGCTGAACAACTGAGCAAAGTGCTGGCCACAGAGACTACACGGCTACTCAGGTTCGTACAAGTAGAAAAGAGGTGAGAGCAAGACTCTCATCTGGGTCTTTGGGGCACACAGCTGGTGGCCGCTCCCAGGCATCGTGATGAACAAGGACTTGCTTAGTGTCTGCCCGCCGCAGGCACCAGTGCGGGGCAGGGGGCTAGTGCTGGGCAGAAGCTGCTCTAAGCAGGGGGAGGAGCAACTTCAACAGCTCTGGCTGGCGTGGAAGGCGCCTGTGCCCAGCCGCACCATGGCGGACGGGTGGGGAAGGAGTGGGCTGGATGTCAGGGTTGACATGGGCAGTGAAGAGGGGCCTGGGGCTTCTCCCACCTGCCTCGAGTCCTGGTCGCACTCCCCAGGTCCTCAGCACAGAAGCGCTGGACACTTCGCTCGCTCACAACACCCAAGTGCCTCTCTTCTAAGGAAGCCTAGGGCGGCGTCTTCCAGAAGTGGCTCTGCAAAGCCTTTACAGTCCCGAAGCGTGGGGCGGACAGACACCCTGCTCCCCGGAACTGTGCTCGGGGGTCCTTAATCCTATCAGCAATTCCAAACATTTGCAGGGAGCCCGTGGGCGCACCAACCATGTTGACATCCACAGTGCCATTCGATCCCCATGGCAAGGACAGCGAGGACTAGCCAGCATGTTACTAAAGGTGGCCGTGGGTGACAGCAGGCCAGGACCAGGCCATCTGAACGTTCCAGCACCATCAAGAGCAGGGAAGCTTCCCTGTGGATGTCGTCCCCCAGAGACGAGGAGGAACAGGCAAAGCCCCAGACTCTACCTGGCCCTCCTGTCTCCCCTGGCCTTGGAGGGGGACCCAGTGTCACACAGCCGAGGATGGAAGTGGACAGTTGGCCATGGCAGGGCCCACAGTCCCCAAACTATAGTGTCACTGTCACGGGAAGCCGATGATTCTCCCGGAGCGCGCTGGCTGGGACGCCCTCCATGTGTCTCGGCTGTATCACCATTTCTGGTCTTGTGGAGCTGGGGAGGTCCTGGGAGCACCTTGCACCTGTTCCACGGTGAGGAGACTGACATCCGGAGAGGGAGGTACTGTGCTGAAGGCAGAGCCGAGGTTCGGGTCCTGGACTCCCGACTTGATCCCAGCACCCATACACTCACGGCAATGAATGAAGAGCTCAGGGCCATCTGAGCCGCGACCACACCACCCTTTCTCCAGGGACGTCTCCTCCGTGCAGCCCCAGAGGGAGGAGCAGTCTGGACCCGCCAGGGCAGAGAGGGAGGGCACCTCGTGCTGGCTGCCCCAGCCCAACTCTGGTTCCCGGTTTTACTGTGACTCCCCCTGCCACACTCACTCCCCTGGGCCACAGCGCTCTCCCCGTCTTCCCCCTGTGAGGAGGGGTGGCGTGGGAGGAGAGGAGCTGGCCTTCAGCTGAGCTGAATCCCGCGTCTCCCTCTGGCCAGCTGCCTGCGGCAGACAGGTGGGCAAGGCAGGTGCAGCCCCGCACCAACTCAGCTACAGCCATGAAACAATCCTCTCTCTCCAGCGAAACCCCAACAGCATTCCAAGGGTCCTCGTCCAGTTTTTCACGTCTCCTCTCTCCTAGCTGGACTGTGATGTACTCCTCGAGTGAGAATGGAAACAGGTAGCCAAGGCACAAGGCTGGCCTGAACGAGGAGCCCCAAACAGTACTGAGGCACCACATCCAGCCCCCAGATGTGTTCCGGGATACCCTGTGTGCTTCTCCTGATTCCCACTAGGGGGCGCTGTGGCACCAAGGGTAGGGACGGCCATACTGGCCTCTATACCCGGTCTCAACCTGAGCTTCTCTGACTCCAGCCCTGACTCTTCAGCTCTTAGACCCAGAGCCTGAGGCAGGCAGGGACCCTCCGCCAGGCCGTGCTGGACCCCAGGGCATCCTGTCTAAAAGACACTGGTCTCGGTGGCAGCTTCCCCATCCACCTGCTTGGAGTCCTTGGGTGACTCTTGGGGCCCGGGGCTCCTGCCCAGGCTGAGGCTGAGCGTGAGGGTGGGCGGGCAGCTGGAGCGGGTCAGCAGCGTGGTGCGGCGGCTGGAGAGGCTGCTGTTGGACAGCTGTCGGCGCATCCGGGGCCGCGGGGCCCTGCAGCAGGCCAGGTGACGCAGGGGCCGCGGCAGCAGGTGGCTGTTGAAGCCCATGTAGATCCAGGGGTTGCAGCAGCTGCTGAGGTTCCCCAGAAGCATGGAGATGGTGAAGGCCACGTTGGTGGAATCTACCAGAGACAGAGCAAGCAGGGGCAGACTCAGCCTGAGAGCCGGGGGGCCCCGGGGAGAGCACCCAGGTCCCCTACTCCCCCACCGACGAAGACACCGAGCTAGAGAGAGGAGAAGGGGTTCCCTTGGGTTCTGTCACAGCTGGGACTTGAACCTGGGACTCCTGACTCCAGCATCTTAGTTCACTGATTGGTTTTTGTTCCGTAGGTTGTGTAACTACAAGGTAAGGGCATGAGCTGAGGTTTGCTTCAAGTTGAATTTAGAAGTGTGAACTTCGGGGCTGGAATTGTTATGCCACCATGGGTCAAGATGATGGTTCGAGTCCTGGTTGCTTCACTTTCGATCCAGCTCCCTGCTAATGCGCCTGGAGAGCAGTGGAAGATGGCTCAAGTGCTTGGGCCGCTGCTACCCACATGGGAGATCCGAAAGAAGCTCCTGGCTGCTGGCTCCAGCCTTGCCCAGCTCTGGCTGTTGTGGCGATTTGGGGACTGAACTAGTGAACAGACAGTCTCTCTTTCTCTCCTTCCCTCTCTGTAATTCTGCCTTTTTTTTAAGATTTACTTTTTATTTATTTGAAAGACAGGGTTACAGAGAGAGGAGAGAGAGAGAGGTCTTCCATCCGCTGGTTCACTCCCAAAATGGCTGCAATGGCTGAAGCTGAACCAATCCGAAGTCGGGAGCCAGGAGCTTCTTCTGGGTTTCCCACATGGGTGCAGGGGCCCAAGGACTTGGGCCATCTTCTACTGCTATCCCGGGCCACAGCAGAGAGCTGGATGGGAAGAGAAGCATCCGGGACTAGTACCACTGCCCATATGGGATGCCGGCACTTCAGGCCAGGGTGTTAACCTGCTATGCCACAGCGCCAGCCCCGTAACTCTGCCTTTTGAATAAATAAATCTTTATAAATAAAAAAAAAAAGGGTAAACCTAGGGATAGGGTCCACACAAACAGGAAGTTAGACCTTGAACCCCCCAGGTGGATAAGATACCGTCTATAACGCATGCAGGGGAAACAGAAATGAGGCCTCTCCTGCCCTCGGCCCCACTTGCAGTGTGGACCACGGCTTCCTGCTGCACTCTGTAGTCCATTCTCCTTCAATCTCCGGGGCAGCCCACTCACACAGTCATTCTGTCCCTGCGTGTGTGACACTGCCTGTGCTGGGGACAGGGGAGGGCCTTCGGAGGAGCCTGGCTGCCCACTGGCAACTATGCCATCGGCTCTAAGGCATAAGGCATGCCAGCACCCTGTGCCAGACCAGTGCTTGTCCTGAGTCCTCAGATTCGGACCCTCCTGCAGGGAGAGACTCATTTCCCTCTTGGGCAGTGAGGGTGCAAAACCTTGAGAAGGGTCCTTCCAAATATAATATTCTTTCTAACGAACAAATGGAACTCCTCTTGCCAAGAGGGTAGCTGTGAGGACGGGCTCCACCCCGCACAGTTACCGCAGCAGTGCGAGGTGGCACACCGAGTGCCTGGGGCTTCATCCGGCGAACTCAAAGGCCAGACCTGAGTGCCCACTGTGGAAACCACCGCGGAAGCTGCAGCTACCTGGTGCCTTGTGCAACCCCCCCGTGGGTGTGCTCAGAGGTGTGATCCATCCCTCGTGGCCCAAAAGAAAGGGAGACCCAAGGTAAGGATGCCCAGGAGAAGGCGCACGGCCCTGGGCAGCTGAGTGGACAGGTCCAGGGGCGCAGGGGGAGCGCGAGGAGGGAGCATTTGTAAGCAGGGAGGGATCGGCCTCAACAACAAACTCAGCCACCTGCAGTCTGGCCCAGCTGCTAGCCTGCGCCTAGTCACCGTACAGTTACTACTATGCAGGAGGCACGGGCCCCCGCCTTGGCCAGGGGTGGCATTCGTTCTGTCTTCCCCATCCGGGGACACAGTCCCACAGATCCTGGGCTTTGAAAGCATCTGCCTGGCTTGGTCCATCTGAGCTGGGTCCAGAGCAAGGGCTGGGGATGTGCCGCCGAGGAAGGAGCCACGGCCCCACTTCTCAGTCCTCACCGGCTTCCCCACCACCCTCAGTCCAGGCAGCTGCCGCTGTGTCCCGGCAGAATCTCAGCTGGACTTGAAATATGAGAGCTGTCAGTGGCTGTCAAGGAGGAACTCAAGTCATGCCCAGCCCAGTACAGGGAAGGGCTCCTGGAGAGTTCTTGGGCCACCAATCACCACCGCAGACCTGCTCATTGGGCAGCCCCTTTCTGCTCCCTCCCCCCGCCATGCTAAGCCCAGCCAGCAAACTGCCAGTTGGTGAACCAAATCCACCAATGGCCATACCAGGTAGACTTTTTCATTTGTTAAATTAGTTACCAACATCTACAAATCAGGAAATGCCACCCCTGAAAGACAGCACGGGTGGTCTGCATGGGACTCGCAGCTCCCATTTTGCACATGGGACAGGGATCATCTTTCTGAGCGGCTTTGCTCACTCACTGCCACCCGCCTGGCCCTGCCCTAACCCTCATGGCCACCCCTCCCTACTCACGGCCCCCCCCCCAACCCACACACTTGCCTTCATCAGGGGCGTCGTCATCCCACACAGACCACATCTGCATACTGAAGAAGGGTGCCCAGCAAGCGATGTAGGCCAGCACAATGACGAAGGTCATCTTCACTGTCCGCATCTTGGCTCGCGAGATGGTGCTGACGCTGCTCACCCGGGAGGGCAGCCCCAGAGCAGCTGCAGCAGGCCTGTCCCAAGCTCTCCAGCCCCCGCCTTCTCCCCTCCCGGCCTGCGTCTTGACCTTCAGGTTCTTACAGATCTCGTGGCAGATGAGGCTGTAGCAGGCTGTGAGCATGGCCATGGGCAAGATGAAGATGGCCAGGGTGGTCCAGGTGATGTAAGCCCGTGGACCCCAGGGGAAGCGAAAATCCGCCCAGCAGTCCAGCACCCCCGAGCCCTGGATCACCTCCCGCAAAGAAAAAATGAAGACTTGAGGGAGGCTGAGGATGGCAGCGAGCAGCCAGGGAGCGGCGATGAGTGGATGGGTGGACTGGCTGGGCTGCCGGAGGCTGCGCAGGGGGTGGCAGATGGCCAGGTATCGGTCCAGTGTCATGGCCAGCAGCATGTAGGTGGAGGCAAACATGCTAAGCACCTGCAGGTACTTGACGGCCCGGCAGAGGAGGTCGGGGCCCTGGAAGCGATAGGTGATGTCCCAGAGCAGCTGGGGCAGCACCTGGAAGAGCGCCACCCCCAGGTCGGTCAGGGCCAGGTGCAGCACAAACAGGTGCATGCGCGAGCGCTTGCGGCCGGGCCGGCCCAGAATCAGCAGCACCGCCAGGTTGCCCCCTGTGGCCAGCACGAGGACAGCGGCCAGGACTCCAATCTCCACCTTGGCCAGCTCCTCATCCCGGCCCAGCCAAGGTGTGGTGGCATTGGGGGCAGAGAGGGTGCCCCCAGGAGTGGGACTGGCAACCCAGGGAGGCCCGGGATCCATGGTCAGGGTTTGATGAGGGAAGAAGACAGGGACAAGGATGGACAGTGCGTGCAGGGGGGAGCCCTGGTGGATCCAATGGGGTGACAAGGGGAATGTTAAGGTGGAGGAAAAGTATGGTGGGGAGGAACGCTGGAGATAGCTTCGGGGGACACAGTTGGGAGGAGGGAGAAGGGGGAGTCCGGGAGAGAGGTGTCAGGATGGGAGGGATGGACCAGGCATTGCAGCAAGAGGCTTTCGGAAAGGATAAAAGGCTGGGGCGCTGTCTTCAAATTCAGTTTCTCCAAACTTCCCTGAAGGTGGAGAGATCCCCGTAGCCTGCGAGGAGTCGCTGTCCTGGGCATCGGCCCCCCACCCCGCTCCCAGGCCCAGAAGCCCCAGGGAAGCCCCCTGCGCGCTCTGACCTGCGAGAGTGGCGGAAGCGCAGCGGCTCCGGCCGGATGAGCGCTTTTTATGCGCTTCCAGCTGGAGCCGGGCGGCCGGGGCTCACCGGTTGGTTCCTGCAGAGGAGGGCGGAGTGAGACTCGAGGGCACCCACCCGGCAGCAGGACCGAGAGGCCGGCTGGGGCGGGCGGCGGCGAGGCGGGAGGACCAAGGACAGCTAGCCCGAGGAGCGAGCGAGGAGCGAGCGAGGCGAACGCTCACCCGCCGGCAGCCAGCCAGACCGATGAACTCAAGCAGACTCGCCCTGGAACCCTCGCCTTGAGTCCCCAGACTGGCGCACATGCGGGGCGAGGGTGAGAAGGGGGTCACTTGGCTGCCCCGCCCCGCGCGCGCAGGGGCACTGCGGCTGGCTGAGTGTTGTGTGCACCCTCTGCTGTCTGCTCCCTGCTCCCTCCAAACACCCAGAGCCCTTGCTGGTGGCAGGTGAGCGAGGCAGCGTCCCCAGCCACTAGGGAGCTACATCTGCCCCGCCACACTGGTCGGGGACCTGAAGCCTTAAGGAGAGGAAGAAGAAGGGAAGACGTTTATGGAGAGGGGGATGGTGGAGAGAAGACCAAAGTGGAAGATGGTGGAAGGGGCTGGACGTGGGGCGCTTGATGGGAGGGGACCGTAGGCAGAAGGTTGGGTGTCTGCGGCCAGCCCCGCCTCTCCTTTGTCGGTGCTTCTGAGATCCTAAACTCGTGAACCACTGTGAGGCAGGAATCAGGCCGGCGCTGTGTGACTTACTCTACGGAAGCTTCCGGGACTAGCAAGCAGAGGCGTGGGCCGAGCCTCTCCCCAGTGTTTGCCTAGAAGTAAAAGCTGGGTCTGAGTACTGCTGGGGCATGCAGCGTGTATACGTTTTCAGCTCCATTGCACCAACCCCTAAATTAGCTGTCCCACCAGCTAGCTGCGTTTTAGTTGCTCAACATCCTCACAACTGGGCTTCTCAATCTTTACCAATCTGATAGGTCTGAGTCGGCCTCTCATTTGCTTTTGTAGTTCTCTGGTTACTAATTCTTTGGAATGTCTTTCCATAGATCTACTTAGTGTTTGGACTTTGTCTTCTGTGAATTGTTCATATCCTATGTGCAACTTCTTTTTAAAATGATTTATTTATTTATTTGAACATCGGAGTTAGAGAGAGAGAGAGAGAGAGAGAATCTTTCATCTTTCCATCTGCTGGTTCACTCAGATGGCTGCACCAGCCAGGTCTGGACCAGGCTGAAGCCAGGAGCCAGGAGCTTCTTCTAAGTCTCCCATGTGGGTGCAGGGGCCCAAGCACTGGGGCCATTTTCTGCTGCTTTCCCAGGAGCATTAGCAGGGAGCTGGATCAGAAGTGGAACAGTGGGAACACAAACCTGCTATGCCTCAACACTGGCCCCCATAGTCCTTTTTAAAAATTTTTAATTTATTTGAAAGGCAGAGTGACAGAGTGCAGTGGGGGGAGAGGATGGATGGAGAGAGAGAGAGAGAGAGACAGAGAGAGAGAGAGAGAGAGAGAGAGAGAGAGAGGTCATTCATCTGCTGGCTCACTTCCCAGATGGCTGCAATGGTCAGGGCTGGAACAGGTGGAAGCCAGGAGCCTGGAACTCCATCTGAATCTCCCACAAGAGTGGCAGGGCCATTATCAACTGCCTTCCCAGGTGCATTAGCTGGGGCCTAGATTGGAAATAGGGCAGCTAGGACTTGAACTGGCACTCTGATACAAGATGCCAGCATCACACATGGTGGTTTAACCCACTGTGCCACAGCACCAGCCTCTGATTGACAAGCCTCTTGATTTTTTTTTTTTTTTTTTGACAGGTAGAGTTTTAGACAGTGAGAGAGACAGAGAGAAAGATCTTCCTTCCGTTGGTTCACTCCCCCAACGGCTGCCACGGCCGGTGCTGCCCCGATCCGAAGCCAGGAGCCAGGTGCCTCCTCCTGGTCTCCCATGCAGGTGCAGGGGTTAGGCCATCCTCCACTGCCCTCCCGGGCCACAGCAGAGAGCTGGACTGGAAGAGGAGCAACTGGGACTAGAACCCGGCGCCCATATGGGATGCCGGTGCCGCAGGCGGAGGATTAACCAAGTGAGCCATGGCACGGGCCCCCTCTTGATTCTTTTATCTGAAGCATCATCTCTTGATCTTCCCTTGCTAGATGAGCAGAAGTGTAGTGCTTTTCATCTCGGGCCCACCACTCACCTGCCTACATCCTGGACCTCACAAAGTAGTTATGGGGATAGCGACTTGTGCAGCCCCATCTGAGACTGAGTTTGTATGAACTGAAAGGTGAATAATATTTGATAAAGTCCCAACCCACCCCCACCCCGCCCAAAAAAAAAAAAAAAAAAGACATGAGAGACATGAGGCAGGCATTGTGGTGCAGTGGGCTTCGCCACGCCTGGAAGCATGCCTCTCGCATGCAAGCGCCAGTGCGAGTCGTGGCTACTTCGCTTCTGACCCAGCTACCTTCTCTGTACACCTGGCACCCACCGTGCTGGCCTTTCTGCCTTCCTGGGTGACTCCTGTTTCCTCAGCCCGTAAATGTAGAGATGGAGGAAGTGGTCTGGGGAGATGGGCCATTACGGGGACTAATGCATCTTTTATAGCCCTTGGTGTCGCCACCGTCTTCTGTTAAATTGGCTTAATCCTGAGATTGCTGCAGAGCAAATAGGTGAGCTAAATGAGGGCAGAGGGCAGGAGGGTCAGCCTGGCCGGTGTGAACTTGAGGGACTCCCGGAAAGTCTCCACTTTGTCCCCATCTCTGTATGGCACCTTGTACAGCCGTGGGTGGCCGAGAGACTGCGTGATGGGGAAGGACCTCATTCTGTGGTTTTCCAGGACAAAGTCCAACCTGAAAGCCAGAGAGGCGATGAGATTTCCAGCATCACTCAGAGAGGAAGGCCAGAGGCCGGCCAGGACCCACGTCCATCCAGCGGCTCCCTCTCCTCCTTCCACGCGTGCTTCCCCCGGGCAGAGGCTCCCCACCCCGGCTGCACATTCAGATCTCCTGGGCAAGCTGTCCAGTGCCCGGGTCTCACCCGCACAGATTCTGGGGCCTCCCTTAAGACAAACATTTCAGTGCTGCAGCCTAACAAAGCCAGCTCCCAGGTGCGGCGTCACAGGCCAGCTGCCTTTTGTTCAATGGGTGTGTTATTCCTGGCAGGTAATATCACTTTATTTTTAAACTGTGCTGTACGAAGTTTAGAAACTGACCAAAGTAGAGCGGATCGCATCATAATTCGTATAGCACATGGCTTGCTTTTACACTGACGCTTTCTGGAGAGTGGGTTGGAAAAGTGGCCGTAACAATGTCAACAGTGCCTCGAGGCCAGGGTCAAGTTCCCTGGATTTGGGAGTTTCTCAGAGCACATCCCACTGAACTGTGTGGCTGTGAGGGACACAGGTGAGGGCCTCAAGTGCCCAAGCATCCTGGTTGCCTGAAACAGAGCAGGCACTGGTGCTGTGGTGTAGTGGGCTAAGCCTTTGCCGGTAGCGCCAGCATCCCACATGGGCACTGGTTCTAGACCCTGCTGTTCCTTTTCTGATCCAGCTCTCTGCTATGGCCTGGGAAAGCAGTGGAAAATGAGCCAAGTGCTTGGGCCCCTGCACCCACATGGGAGACCCAGAAGAAGCTCCTGGCTCCTCTCTTCAGATTGGCCCAGCTCTGGCTGTTGCAGCCCTCTCTCTGTCTATAACTCCACTTCTCTAGAAAATAAATAAAAATTTTATTAAAAAAAAAAAAAAGAAAGAAACAGAGCAGCGGTGGGAGCCAGGTGGCCCATTGTTGCTGTGCAGCCTGGGGCAGACCTCAGCTCTGAGGGCCGAGGCCAAGGCAGCGCTGACGGTCTCCTGGGGCTGGGGCTGGGGTCTCCCGGGGTCCTCAGCTCTCCCGAGAGAAATCAGCCCTGTGACACTCAAACACTGCCCCTGACTCCGTCTGCGCAGCAGTGGACACTTGCTCCACTTCTGCCATCAGCCCGTGTGATAACCCCAGACTCCCCGCTGCAGCCCCGGGGAGGCAGTCCGTACTCTTTTCCTGTCCTTTCCCTCCTCGCACCAGTGAGCCAGGGAGAGGATTCAGGGACGTGGTGGTAGATGGGGCGCCAGGATTCCAAGTCTGGTCAGAGATTCCGGAACTCAGTCTTCTGACATAACGTGTGCTTCTGGTTATTTGGAAGACGCGACATAAAGAGGCAGCAGCATCTCCTTTATCGACTTAATAAAATTTAATACTAATAATAATCAATATTACATAATCCATCAGAGTTTAAAAATGATTTTGATGTTACATTATCCTGTGTAATTCTCCCTATAGTCCTTCCAACTGAGTATGCAGACCCAAACTTAAGAAGTTCAGAGAAGCTCATTCCTAGGCTGAGATCACACAGGACAGCAAGATGGCTCTGGGGACAAAGCCAGAAGCTCTTTGGGATCCCTGTAAGGACCGTCCAGGGGTTCTGGAACCATGAGCACCGCTGCTCTAAGCCCACCCTGCTTTCAGCTTCGTGTTTGTGTTTTCAGGGGACACAGACCTGAAATGCCAAAGCAGACTCACGCAGCTGGAGACAAGGCAGGGCTCCCCAAAATAATCTGCTTAGCAGAGCAGAACCCTGGGGGTTCCCCAGAGGTGCTCCAGGGACTGCCTTAGGGGCAAAGGAAGGCCAGTGGGTGGGGCACCAAGATTCTCTGGGGCCCTGGATTCTCTTGGGAAAGAATTGCCTGTGCTTTGGGAAGACCTCGCCAACTACAGCAAGAAAGAGGAGAGGAGGCAGACAGCCCAGACGGGGTGGTTGGATCGCCAGCA